GGTTGTCCTGAGCCTTTCACGTGGGAGTGGGAGGAACACGCGTGGCCCGGCTCCCAGAACAAAAGGGCCTTCCTTCCTTCCTTCCTTCCTTGGTAGCCTTCCAGCGCCTTCCTCTTCTCGTCCCATCCACGTCTCGCCACCCACGTCCTCTTGATGCCATTTCTAGCCTGAAGGCGACAGATTCACGTCTGATTCTGGAAGCTAAGAAGGGTCGGCCCTGGTTAGTACGTGGATGGGAGACCGCCAAGGAAGACCAGGGCGCTGTAGGCTGTACTCCAGAGGAGGGAACTGGCAAAACCATATCTCTGAGGCTTCCTTGCCTAAGAAAAACCCTATAAGATTCATGGGCTCGACAGGAGTCGACAGGAGACCTGCAGGCACACATACATATACGGCGGGAAGCCATGTGTATGTATATATGGGGCTACAAACATCGAATCTCCTAACTTTTTAAAAGTCGAGATTGTCATTTTCCTTAATTTTAAAAACAGCTCTAAACAGATGGTGTAGTTTTGGTTAACAAGGCCATTAGAAAGGCCAAAATGGACCCCGCGAGACTAATATTATCTATTCCACCGGCTCCAACAAAATGTACTCCTCAGGGATCCGGGTATTTAGATCTCAGTTTGGGAAGGCTGGGGGTGGATCTCTTCTCCAGAGGTTTACATTTCCCGCTTCCAATGCCTTGGAGGAATAAAAGACCCAATCACATAGAAGTAAATTGTGTCCCGCTTTGAGTCCCAATTTTTTGGAGACAGCAAGAAACAAAGAAATACCCTAATCATGATGACCCTCATCTCCTCTTCCCACTTCGACCCAGTCATGCCACCAAACTCGCGTGTCCATCCCCCAAATCACCAGCACCGGCACTCCGCAAATCCCAACCTCATCATTCATTTCTTTGTCGGTTGTATCTTAGTAGTAAGAGTCAAATGGGAAGAGATGTCTAGATGCCACCCAAAGAGCCACCCTCTCTCGCACGAGGGGACTTTTGGAGTCGTTTTAAGTGAAATACTTCATCTCTTTTTTTGGATTGCCCATCCCATCCCATCTGGATTGAGAGAAAAATTGAGGCCACCTCTCTTGCGCTGCCTGGGAAATACGGGAATCCCACACAATTTGGTCATTTGGTTCAAGGCCCCTAAAAACCTCCGGGATTGGGGTGTGATCCCTCCCTGCTTGATCCGGATTTTGAAACGACGAGACCCGCTTCGTTTCTCTTTCCGGGGGGAGATGGGGCAGGAGTGCAATTGCATGGGGTCCCCCTCTTCTTGGAAGGCGCTACCTCGGTTTTTAGGGTTGGGTAACTCAAAGGAGAACCAGCTTGGAGTAATAATGGTTTGAGCGTTAGATTATGACTCTGGGGACCAGAGTTCGATTCCCTGTTCCGCCATTAAATCCATTGAGGCGAGTCACACTCTCTCAGCCTCAAAGGATGGCAATGGCAAAACCCCCTCTGAAGAAATTTTACTAAGACACTCTCGTGATAGGTTCGCCTTAGGGTCACCGTACGTCGGGAGCGACTTGAAAGCACACAACAACAACAAATAAATTAAAAATAAGAGGGGAAAGGGAAAGGGAAAGGAAAGGACTCATTGGCCATTTTACAGTTTTCCCTAGTCCAGGAAGGGAGAAAGGCTTACTGCTTACTGTTTAGGGGCCTCTCTTTCTCTACAAGAAATCCATGCATGGGAGCTGTGCGTAAAGTTGGAGTACATCTCCATGCCCAGGAATGTGGCCCCTCAAAGAGAAGGAGGCCCTTGGTCTCCAAGGAGAGTCCCTCCAGGGCAGGGTGACCAGGCATGTCCTCGCCACAAAGGAGGACAAAGCACGGCGATATGGAGGACAGGCAAGAAAAAAAGGGAAAACAAAGACAAGGCTCAAACCACTCCGAGAAAGATAAATTCATCCAAATGGAGGACATGACCAAATAAAAACACTCCTAGAAATGTAAATCCATGCTTCTTGGTCCTGCTCAGAATGGAGGACATGAATAAATACAAGCTAAGAACAATATAAATGTAAGCTCATGCTTCTTAATCCTGCTCTAAACGGAGGCTATATGTACGAATACATGAAAGCTCAAAACACTCCAAATTAGAAATGGGAGTTCGTGCTTCTTTCTTAGCGGTGCTCCAAAGGGAGGGATTTTTCTCCCCCCCCCCAACATACACACACGTACACAAGGCTG